CAGGTATGTTTCTAGGCATTGTGGTTGGGAAGTAAACCTGGAACATGTGAACAGAGCATAACCAATGCAGTGACGTCTGCCTGAGTCTGCAGACAGCCTGAAAAATAACTCAGAGAGGTGTGAACAGGCCAACCCCCATTAATCCCATTGGAACATTAACACTGAAGTCTAATGAAGACACATAAAATGTCAGCATTAACTATTTCATTGCTCTTCATTTTAGCAGATGGAATGGTGAAGGGAAGACGGCCATAGGGAAGGAAATGCAGGAGGAAGAAAGGAGTGACACACACACAGGGAAGAGGAAGAGAAACAAAGGGCAGGAACAACACTGGCCCTGAAGGGGAGCAGATGTCCCATTAAGTGGTGCTGAATGTGAGAGCAAAGCACTGAACAAATGGGAGATGGAAGTTTAGGGACTTTACGGAGTCCCTAGTCTGCCCTTGATCTTTGGGCAAACCTCCCATTGACGTCTGGGGCGAAGTCCTGAATTACACTCCAGGCCATGCAACATAGCTTGGAGCTCCAGATGCCTCAGTTCCCCCTCTGTACAATGTCCTACCTTGCAGGGGGGTTGTGAGAGTAGATATACTAAAGATTGTGTAATGGGGACCGATAAGTTCCATACACCAAGCCAACTGGTAGTGGCATCATACCATTGTAGCTCCAGCAGGTATGTCTGCCACCAACACCCTCTGGAGAGAGGACGATGGAGCATGGGAAGAGAAGGCTTCCCCTTGAGTTCATATCATTGTCTAGTTAAGTAACAGACTGCCTGGCACCCGCCAAGTCAGCAGTGGATCAGAGGGAGTGCCACATGGTTGGGAATGCTGCAGTCTCTTTCTCGGATCTAACTCAGCCCGCAGACAGGAGACAGAACAGCACATCCTCAGGATGCTGCCGAAAGCAGCGCTGACGCCTCAATAGGGAGGCAGGCACTCTTCCCTCTTAGCTCGTAACACACAAATGCCCAGCAAACCAGGGCCGGGGATGCTGTGCTGCTGGGGGTGATGTCAAACCAAGGACCTGGGCAACTGAGTTCAGGGAAGATCCCAGGGCTTCCACCCTGCAGCGCAAAGGTGCTCCATGCAGCGTCTTAGTCAAATTCGAGCTCGAGCTGTCGCAGCACGTTCTGAAATTCCTCAGCCACGTTAGTGAGGGAGAGGGCCACTTCAGGAAGAGGGAGCATGGCCTAGTGGATAGAGGCACTGGACTAGAAATCGGGAGACCCGAATGTCACGGAGTCACCGGGCGATGCTCTGGAACTACTCCATACGAAGCCAGGCAGGAGGACTCTGGGGAAACCTCCTCTCCCCAGGGCAAGAAGCTTACACAACTTTGACTTTCCTGGGGCTGACCTGGGCGCATTCAGCATCCCCGTCCACACCGTGCGCTTCCCACAGCGAGTCCATACAGGCGGGGCTCCTGGGGAAGCCAGTGGGTTCTGCACCCCAATTCCACAGTCAGACGTGACTCTCAGCCAGCCAGTAAAACAGAAGGTTTATTAGTCGACAGGAACATGGTCTAAAACAGAGCTTGTAGGTACAGAGAACAGAACATCTCAGTCAGGTCCGTCCTGGGGGGCAGGGAGGCCAGAGCCCCATCTGAGCCTCCCCCCATTTCCCCAGCCAGCTCCAAACTGAAACTCTGCAGCCCCTCCTCTCCTCTGTGTCTTTCCCTGGCCAGGAGGCCACCTGATCTCTTTGTTCTCCAACACCTTCAGTTGGCACCTTTGCAGAGGAGGGACCCCCAGCCATCAGTTGCCAGGAGACAGGGGGTCAGCCATTCTTTCTGCAGACACCATCACACTGACCCCCTAGGGCTCTCCCACAATCACACACCCTTATCCCACCACCTGGATACTTAAGAACTGCATAGGGGAAACTGAGGCACCCACCCATTATTCAGAGAAAACATTAAGAACATTCCCACTTCGTCACACCGCATTCTAAACCTGGCTCTGCCACTGACCTGCTGTCTGTGACACACCTTGGGCTATTCTCGGTTTCCCATCCCACCCTTTGTACACCTGTCTATTAAACTAAGCTCTTTGGGGCAGGGACTGGGGCAGGGACTGGCGACCCCAGTTTGTAGTGTAGACATGACCTGTGTGTTTGTACAGCTCCTAGCAAAATGGAGCCCTGATCCCCATTTGGGGCCTCTAGCTACTGTCTCAAATCTAAATAACAACACACTGTTGTGTTGTGGGGCTATCAGCTGTTAAACAGCTGTAGTGATCTTTATATCGCTGCAAAGTACTCTGAGCCTTTAAGAAGGTGCTGTATAAAACAGTATTCCATCCTCGGAACTCACTGCCCCCACGACAGTGATTTATGTTATACGGCGAGGCTATTGATTTATTCTTTATGATAAACGACCCAGAGCCTGGCTAATTAATATTCCTTCATAATTTCCAAGAGCTGATGATGTTATCTTAAACAGCTCCCCAAGACGGGCTTCCATACTGATGAGGTTGATATATGTGTTTAAGCTGATGACATCTAAATATGCTTCCCATCATATTTAAGCTCTATGTTTAACTTCTAATGGACCAGGAAGATTTCCTCTGAAATAGAATTTTAAATTAAAGGAATTTTAGGAGCCAAGTGAGCAGGGCCTGTTGGGGAGCTAGTTGGGAGCTCCCTTCGGTTCCTGGATATTCATCGACCAAGTCCAGAAGGGTCCATCATGAGCCCCATATCTGATCTCTTGCGTAACACAGGCCAGAGAATTTCACCCAGTAATGCCTGCATCCGGCCCAATAACTTGTGATAAATTATACTGACAAGCAGAATTGTGCCTGGCTTTCCAAAATCATGAGATGGGCCTGCCAAAATTATGAGATTGTCTTAAAAATCATGAGATTTACATAGTAATACCGTGGGCGGGGGGGGGTGTCTCTTTCTTTGCCTTCTGCGGTTGCAGCTGTTAAGGGTTACATTTCTCTCTGCTAGGCATTTCCTTTTATTTGCAAACAAAAGCTGAGTCCTCAGCCCATCACCTGACTCCAACAGTTGGGGCTTTAAGAAAACCACCAACTCTTGTAAGACTCAATAAAACGGCAGGAGTTGGCAACACTGGAAAAGGGACAAGAAATTAATTTAAAGATTCCTTAGGTTACAAACATTATCCTCTAGATTCACACTAAAATCAGATTTACAATCAAACTTATTTTTTCCATCCTTACCCTGATTGTTTATTTAGATTTATGCAAATGCTACAAAAGGGCTCCAATCCATATGCCCTGGGAGCCCTTGACATAGCTTAAAAGTACAGCGAAGTGCAGCTATACAATGAATTATAACTTAAATGCCAGTGAGCCAGGCAACTTAAAACCCGGAAAGTCATCTCCCTTTCCAACAATTCCCCCACCCTTCTGATACTTCCCCCAACCCTACCCCATTTTTAAAAACCTGAGAAAAATGAAAAGACCTGGAGGTGATCAGACTTTGGTTATTTTGGACTAGGAGGAAGGAGTGAATTCTGAAGTCCGGAGATGCTCAGAGAAAATGCCCTTCCCAATAGTAGCTCTTCTTGTTTATACCAACTTGGTGCAATTGGATCAGCTTGGGCTTCGGAACCAGACTGGACTGCCCAGGCCCATGTCAATTGCACCTCCTCAATCCCACCGCACTTGCGCGGTTTCTCAGGCACTAGCCCAAGGAACTGTATTTGGCCTCAATGTTCCAAAGTTTTACACCTAAGCTAAATTTGTGGGGGTAGGAGGCCCAGTATCGAAAGCTACACTTCCATCCCCTCTCACCAAAGAGGTGACTGCTCCTATCCTGCCTGCACACAAATAAATTGCAACCTTTTAATTAAGCTCCTGGTGATGAGTTATCGAGGCCACAAACTAAAACACCGAGAAGTAGCTTCTGGAGCCACTGTAGTTATTAGACTTCGCCCTCACTCCAGCCCTGGTTCCCCAGATGTTTGCAACCAGATCCAGCTGTTCTTCATCAGTCTTTCTCGATCAGTGTCACCAGGCCCTGGTGTCGTGCTTCCACCAGGCCCCGAGTCCTTCACCAGACACCAATTTTGCTCAGCCAGCTGCTCATTTTTCTTTCTGCACTCTGACACGTTTTCACCCGGCTCCTAATCCGTCTCTCTCCATTCACAACTCAAGCCGTTTATTGATGCTCTGTTTCTAACCCGCCCTCCCCCCAACCCCCATCAGGACAAAGTAGCCTATCAATTCAATAACATGCCATGTCCGGTTTCCCATGCACCCTCCCTTCCCCCGTCAGCATCCTGGGAAATCTATAGATGAGACTCAGTGCAAAGCAGACAAGGAATGCTTACACGTGAAAGGTCTCGCTAACCAGTGCGGTGGAAATGTTCTCTAGCCAGGATGCAAGCCCCAGAGAGAACGCCATGCTGCTAAATGCTTATTTTGCCTCCATGTAAAACAGTGAGAGTCAAATTGACGGGCAGCATGATCTAGGGGCTAGAGCTGTGAGACCTGGCAGCCCAATTCCCCCACTGATTATTTATGATTCGTATCGTGGTAGCTCCTAGGAGCTGCAGTCAGGGACCAGAAACCCATTGCTTAGGCACGGTGCAAACACAGAATAAAAAGACAGTCCCTGCCCCAAGCTGTTTACAATCTAAGTAAACTCAGTGTGTGATCTTAGACAAATGATTCTACCTTTGTTTCAATTTCTCTTTGTCAGGTGTGTGAGTGTGAGTGTGTGTGTGTGTGTGTGACAATTCTCACCTCCGAACAAATTGTGGGACTTAATTGTTTGCTCTGAGCTTTGTGATATTTGGCTCAAAAGGGTGGGACAAATACAAAGTATAATTAGGCTTAGAAGGGATTAGGTTTTTATCCATGTGTCAGCAAACGTCAATTTCACCGTACACACACAAACCCACCAAAAAACATTTCCATTGATAATCATCAAAACGTACAGCTGGGCAAAGTAAGAAAAATACTGCTCGAGAACCTATTAGAGTTTGATTTAAGGACATTTACTTTGTAGATGTGATGTGATGCGATGTGAACAGTTTTGTTTTAAGGGTTATAAAGCTTTCACTTTTTGAATTTCCATATCTACTGTCATTAGATAACTATTGGCTGACCTACCCATCATTTCCTGCAACACTGAAATAGATACAAAAAACAACAAATGCCTTAACACCCAGTATTTTGCACAACTGTGAAAACTGAAATTGATAAAATAGAAAATATGCTTAAAAATATAAACATTGATATTATCTTTTGAAATGATCAAAAAATAGAGCTGGAATTCTGCCAAGCCAAAGTATAATGATAAAGCAACTTCAAGGCACATTTCAACAACTACGCCAGAATGGATCTTCCCTCTGCTCTTACAATATCCCCAGACCTTTCAATCCAGTCCTAAGTCGTTTCTACTTCCAAATGGCATTCTGTAATACCATATACTACCGTAAGGCAAACCAAACTAATTAATGTCTGCCACATACATGAACAGACATCCGCTCAGCTGCACTTCCTCCATGTAGCACACAGGAAGAGAAATCTCAACCTTCATCCCCAAACGCACAGGCCTCTATCGCACGAGGTACAGAGATGCCTCCACTCGCTGCAGCCCCTAGAGAGAGACATTGAACACACCTGATTAGCTCTGAGCGTGAGCCTCTGGGCGGAAGGGAATGGCACACTTATAATACTGTCACATCGTCAAAGCACTGTATTTGCATTGATTGACACATTAATTCTCAACACGCCACCCCCCCACCCCTCAGTGAAGTAGGAGTGTCTCACCCCACAGAGGAGGCAGCCGGGTGAAATGACTTGACTTGCCCAAGATCGTAGAGGCAGTCACATGCAAATCTGGGATCAGAACTCTTAGCCATTGTGTCACGGTATGGATACAGAAAGGAAAAGCCTTAGAGAATTGCTGACTAGAAAATCCTCAAGACTTACCCTTGGCAGAGATGCTCCTTACTCAGCCGACTCACTGGCCTGGAAGATGCAGCTGGTCACGCACAAGGCAGACCTGAAAGAGATTTGTTTAAGAGCTAAATTAAAAGCACTTTTGCTCAGAGTTGGTCATTCACGATTTTCACAGATCCCCAGGCCAGGAAGGACATTGTGACCACCTAGTCTGACCTGCATAACACAAAGGAGTTGGTGTTTTTTTTAGTCAAACAGCAAAGATTTTGCCACCCCCAGGTCAGACAAAAGGAGAGGTTGGAAAGTGCTCAGAAATTCCCAGCCGCCACAAAATACTTGAGAAACAGCGTCCCTGTTTTATGTCTCTTTGTGGTTTAAAGAGTCTGTGTTTTCTCCCCTGCTTTGGCCCATCATATCTGAAGCGAGTGAGACTGACGAATACGACATGCTCAGAATCCTGTCCTTGGGTCGTGGCAGGATTTTAAATCCTAGGCGGAAGAAGTGGAGTAGAGACCAAGACATAATGGACTGAATTCCATGTGGGTTTGGGCTGTGGCAGGGCAGAAGATGGGTGCGTGTCTCTGGCTTATACACTTTATTTTAGGGCACTGAGACTTCCACTTTAAAATGACTGACTTACTTTGAACCCCTGGCCTCTCGAGCTAAGAACTGTCTTGAGGACAGCCATTTTGAAAGGAAAGAAAAGGACCTACTTGGCCTGAATTTATAGGTTACTTTGGGAGTGTAACGATTGGCTGTTCCCCGCCCATCCACCCAATGAGCTGGATCCTAGGGCACTGCTGGGATACTAGAGAACCTGGAAACCACAAGATGCCCTGTAGTGTTTGCGTGCACCTCAGCTCTCTGGAATGGCAACTAGTGTGTGTGGGAGTGTGACAGAGTGATTGTGTTGTCCTAGAGCTTTTTACAGCCCCTGAAGCATGAAAGCCCTACCACTGCGAGAGCAAGCAGAGATTCCCCTTTGGTTCCAGTGGCAGGAGTCTTTGCTTTATAGAACACAAGGTACCGAGTTCTGTTCCTGGGTTTGACTGAAAATCTCTCTGAGTTAGGCCTGGTCTATGCTTAAAACTTAGGTCTACGCAGCTCTGTCACTCAGGGGTGTAAATTTTACACAGAGATATAGTTAAACTGACCTAAGCCCTCATGTAGACACCACCAGGCCAACAGAGTCTTTCCATTGTATCCTGAGTCTTCCATGTCCTTGCTTGTTTTCCTCTTCGTCCCTGGTTTTCTTTGCTGGTTGTTCTTCTCCCATTCTTATCAGATGTCCAGCCCACCTCAAACATGCCCTCTCCAGCCCATCTATCACTGAGGGTCCCAGGTTCATCTTACCCCTCATTTCTTCCTTGCACACTCTGCCTACCCTGCACTTGACTGCATTCTCTTCAGTATATTATTTTCTACTACTTGTATCTTCTTTTCTTCCATCTTGGTAACTCCCACTGTTTCCAAACCCTAGAGCCAGCAGGGACAAACACATGCTGCATACACTGTTCCTTTCAGTTTGTTCCTTATTTGCTAGTCCCACAGCATTCCTTGCAGCTTTTTCACCGCCGCTGCCAGCGCACAGGGAAAGGGTTCTTCGTTTCAGTTCTCCTCATCTCTCTCCAACGGCACTAAGTTTACTTCCCAAGGACTAGGGTGACTAGACAGCAAGTGTGAAAAATTGGGACGGGGGTGGGGGTAATAAGAGCCTATATAAGAAAAAGACCCAAAAATCGGGACTGTCCCTATAAAATCGGTACACCTGGTCACCCTACCAAGGGCAAAAATTCTTTCTTCCGAATCAGCTTCTCTCCTGAAATGTTAATCACCAGCTCTTCTTGCACCTTCCCAATTTGCGTAACTCCAGCTTTCTTTGTGTTCTTCAAACCATGATCTTCCAACACAGATGCCCAGTCTGATCCCACATTGAGCAATTCCTCTTTGCTGTCAGCCATAGGGGCCAGGTCCTCAGCATACATTGGTTCTCTGTGGCTTGGTTCTTCTACTGATTCACTTCATAACTCGGATGGAGAGAAGTGGACTCAGCACTCTGCCTTGTCTCTGTTGCACCGTCCCCTCAGAACTCTCGGAAATTCCATGTATTGTTGCCTTAGGTTCTGACCCTCGATACTGCTTCTCTATCCTCTCCACTTCTTGAAGTGCCCCTCCCATCCATCTCAATACTCCAAACACCGGTGGAATCAAGCCATATGCTTTCTCAAGACCAACAAATGCTCCACAGCAGCAATGCCCTCCGTTGATCATTCTTTCAAACATCTGTCTCACTGCAAATAGCGGGTCTAGAGTTCTCCTTCCCTTCCAAAAGGCATGTTGCTCCTCTCCTATATTTTCCTCCACCTTGCCTCCAAAACTCTCACAAAGACTTTGAGAGGCTGATGTAACAGGGTGATCCCCTGATAAGCGTTTGGATCATTTGCATCACCCTGGCCCTTCCAAAGAGGCACCATCGATCCTGCTCTCCGGGTACCCAAGCTTGATCCCAGCAAACACCTAGTAATGCATAAAGCCACTTGACTCCAGTCCCTCCAACTGCCTTGATCATATCAACAGTTATCTCATCGCCACCAGCAGCCTTACCAGTCTTCACTTCACTCAGTGCTTCTTCTGCCTTGGCTCCAGAGCTTGACACCTTCTGTGGCTTCCCCATAACTGTCATCGGCTTGCTTTTCATTTCATATTTTTTCCATATCGCTGCCACCACTTATGGGCTGGTTCCCATGCTCCACACGAAAAGGATGGGTTTCATTGTTCCACTTTTTTTGCCAACCCCAAACCTCAGTTTCCTGCTGCCGCCTTCCTCCAGCCTGCTGTACAATTCCTCGTCAGCCTCCAGTCTTGCCTTAGCAATGGCCTTTCCAGCACTGTGCCATGTGCAGAGCTCCCAGGATGGCAATGGCATGGCAGGGCAATGAGTTAGTACAGCTCCTCCAGCTGTTGGCCTCCCATTTATATAACAGCAGCTGCAGGCGGCAATGGGAGGGACACTGCCCATGGGGTCCAGTCTTGCTCAGTGAGAGAAGACACCAGTGAGTTAACCCTTCACGGTGCAGGGTGTGTGAGAGATTCGACCCCCTGCCCCCACCCCCCATCAGCGGGGGGCAACAGCTGCTTTAATCCCCACTCCCCCTCCCCATCCCATCCTTCTGCCTCTGATCCCCAGTGTTGCTACAGACACCTCCGTGGGGGTGACGGCTGCTGCATGGGCCCTAGCGGGGCTGCTGCCAGCAGTAGCTGTGATGGAACGAGGCAGCTGCGGGAGAGCAGGTGGGTGAGCCTGCCAGCTGGCAGTCTCCAGAGCCGCCGAGTCTCCACGCACTGGCCAGAGGCCGCACTGGGTCCCATCCATCCCCACAGCTGAGACCCAGCCCGAGGGCCGGGGGGGGGCAATGTTCTCGGGAGAAGCAAGAGGGAACCTGCCCCTGGGGAAGCTCGTGGAAGTAGCCTCCTCGTAGGCTGAGCCAGCTGGAGCTGAGAAGCGCCGGTCTCCCCTCAAAGCCATCTCCTCTTCTTTCTGGGAGATCCACCGAGCTGGTCTCAGATGGGGTTCTATGTCCTGGCAGAGCTATTGGGAATCCCAGGGAGGAGCGTAGGGCCTCCGTGGGGTTGGACCATCCCCACCTGTGCTGGGAGGCTCTTTGCTGGGGCTGGGCCAGGCTGAGCCTGTCTCGCTGGGAGTCACCTCGCTGACCGCTTTCCACCCAGCTCTGTGCGGGTGCGCGAAGTGCGCTGCTAAACACTCTCGTAGCAGAGCGGGCGCTTCCTGTACGAAGGAGCGCCGTACCTGGGACTGCCACTAGAGGGCCTCGTGATGCACCGCGTTGAGCCTTAGCCCCTCCCACCGCCTGGCCCTCCGGGCCGCTGCCGTTCAGCCTTTGCCCTGGCAGCCTCCCCGGCGGTAGGGAAGAGCCAGGACTCGGACAGAATGAATGCAAAGGGGATTCTTCACTGAGGCCTCTGGGCACAGACAGGGACCCCGGGCACAGGAGCTAAGTCCTGGGGTGGACTTAGCCGCCATAGAAGAGCCTGCTGGCTCCAGAGCGTCCCCCAGGGACAACGCTGCTGCCTCCTAGTGGGGCAATACCCCAGGAGTCCCACAGCAGCCCCATCGAACTCAAGCCTGGCCTTTGCACTCTATTCATGCAGGGGAACGGGGGGAGAGGGGGTGTCCTGCCCAGCCCCTGGATGACGACCTAAAAACGCCCCCTCAGGTCCTTTATGGGGGGACTGTGCTTCCAAGGCCCGTCCCTGGCATCTGAACAAGGGCTGCTGGCTGCCCGCGGAATGGGTTTCCTTCGCTCTCCCTTCCCTGCACTGACCCCGTGGCTATGGGGGGAGGCGAGGTGCCGGGGCGGTGAAAGACCCCTGCCCCTTCTCGCTGGGGGGATATTCTGCTGAGGCTGCGCCATTTGGCAGCTGGGGTCCTGTCCCCTGCAGGGACTGCCCCTCGCTACTTGAAAGGAATCATTCACAGTCGCAGGGGTTGGTCCAGCTCGGAGGCTGATAGGGGATTGCTCCAGCCATTCAGAGACTCCCCATGTTCCCCTCGCGTGGGCTCTCTGTCCCTCCACTCAGGTCCAGTTCCAGATGGCTGCTGCTCGTGCCTCTCCTGCTTTTGTCTCACGCTCCCTGCCTCTGTGTGTGGGCCAGCCTGCCTCCCTTTCGCTATTATACAGCCCCTCCTGGCCTGAGCTGCCCGAGCCTCCTCCAGTATAAAAACTGACAGGAGATGAGGGACCGAGTGACGATCCCCCCAGCCTGAGCCACGTTCCTGAGGCCAGAACATGCTCCCCATGGCCAGCACATGAAGCAAGGCCGGGCCAGCGCCTCTCAGAGACAGGCCCAGCATGGAATCAGAGGCCAGCTCCTAGCTCCGGGGAGACATGCTTTCCCACCCCGCAGGAGGCTGGGAGATTGAAGGTCAAGGAAAGGGAGGCTGGATCAGCAAAAGAGAAATCCCCTTCTCCTAGTGAAGCTTAGTGACAAGCTGGTCTCTTTTGCAGAGGCTAAGGCCCCTGTGAGCCAGGGAAGTGGGGTAGTCTATGGAGTTTGTACAGGGCTGGATAATGGCTCCATGAG